TAGATAAGTAATCGAGAAAATTATTGTGAGATATTAAATTTCTAAAAGATTATCTTCCATTTTAAATGATATATAAACGACTACACATTAACCATTATTGTTTATCTAAAATATACTATCATATGCTCTCATCAGCTGTAGTAATAATCTTAAATTACATAGAAACACAAATAATAGATGCTGGTTAATTTGCAGTAATAGCCATGACACTCACGATTAATATCTAAATTTATTATGCTGAATAAATTGATAAAATAGAAACACTAAAAATATTTGGAAGAAATAATTATGCAAATATATTGAAGCCTGGAGTTATTTACAAGGCAAGGATGCCATATTAGAGATAAAATATTTTCTAACTATAAAATAAGGACCAGAATGATATTATGAAACAATTAAGATTTTATATATTGTCGCAACACCTCTAGTTGGTATATTATATCTTAAAATAATAGTTAGTTTGTAATAATATCAAAAATATACTTGTATTAAAAATTTAACTCAAAACTGTTTTTCGAAAAGAAAAAAAAATAACTTTCCTAAAAACACGTAAAAAAAAGAAGAAATGATATTTAATTTATTACATCTATTGTGGGATGAATAATATAATGTTTAATTTTTAAAATTATTTATAACTAAATAGATGGTGTTAAATATTTAAATGCAAATTGTAACTATATTTATTATCAAAAAGCATTTATTAGTAAAATTCATTATAATATTAACTGTAATATATTATATAACTGACAAATACGTCTATAAAAGTGCCATTTTATCTAATATTTTATAAACAACTGTATATAATAGAGGATTATAAACTATATGCCTAATTACTTACTTTTTATAAAGAAATCTCTTATACTTATTTGGACCTTGGAAATATTTTTAGGAATAGGTATGATAATAAAATTTAAAAATAAATATACAGTTGATTAGTCATTTTGAACTCGGCTAATTACAATATTAAATTTTTTAGTTTTCAATTAATAAATGATTATTTTTATTTAATTAGAATTATATAATAATTTAAATAATAATAGTCAATAAAGCTTCAACTGTTAATGCTAAATTAATATTTAGTGAGTGATATTAATATTCTTTTAACACAAAATTTGATTGCAAGCTGACATAGTGAAAATATAATTTATATGTATATATCTAATCTAATATGTAAAATAGTATTCATTTATTAAATATGACAGTCTTATTAATTTTTAAATAATAAAATTAAATCTATATATTACTTAATAGAATTATAAAAGAAATCGTTCAGGGGGCAATCAAAAAATTTTATTTTTAGTTCAAGGGGTTAAGATTCCATTTTAAAAAAAAAATTTTGCTTCAGGGGGCTATTCAAATTTTTCAGGGGGCTTTAGCCCCTGCGTTCTCCCCTAGGGACGCTACTGAGCAGCACGAAGTTAGTTGTGATAGGGTCGAAGTAATTTGAATGATATTATTACCTGCAAGATTTCCCTATATTTCAGGTACATAGAAATTTGATGATTTTTATCATAGTTAAAAAAAGATCAGGAAGCATAGTAATTTAGAAAAAATTAAATAAAGTGGAACATTGTATTGATTGCTCCTCCATCTTATTTAATTTGTTTTGATCATCTAAATTAATTTATAGCACTAAAAAAATATATTTTTATTGATCAACTTAATAAAAATAAATTTTTATTTCAAAAATAAGATATAACTCATGTAATAAAGTATGTAAAAATTTAAGTTTATTTAGGTAGTTAAGGCTGGTTGGGTAAGGAATAAAAAATATTTTTAAGGTGAAAGGTAAATCTAGGCATGCTGTTTTTTCCAGAATTAAGACGCTGCTTCCATTATAGATCTTCTGTACTTTAAGTTTACATTAATATTTTCTAAGTGGTTTCCAAATAGTATTCATGCGCCTGAAAGAGTTTCCGGTGATATATTTTTAAAACCACAAATTTAATATAAAATAACCGAAGTCTTGTGGTTTTTACAAATTAACACTGTATAAGATGAACCTGTCATTTTTGTAAAATAAAAGTTATATTTTTTTTAATTAAATTTGGAAATCATTCACATTTTTGAAACTAAGCATTTAGTCTAACAATTTTCATACGTTATACCATAGGCATAGCTAAATGGGGAATAGAAAAATCCTGGGAATTGTGTAAAAAAAATAAAGTCCTGCAGGGTTGGGCTGGAGGTAACCAAAAAATATAGGCTCGACCCTGGCCCATGTTATATTTCTTTCTTATTCTTCCTTTTTTGCCCAATCGAATATTACAATCCCGGGCAGCCTATTTATAATAATTTAGTACACATGCTAATTACCCTTAAAATGTTTGATGTTCGTTTCTTCAATTCTCAAATGAAAATATATAAAATATTAATTTTATAAATTTAAGGAAAACATAGAACCCCGGACCAAGAGACACTGAACAAAGAGACAGCGGGCAAAAAGGCATATGACAAAAATACCTCAATTTTAATAAACTTTCAAACAGGGATGTGAACCTGGACCCTGAACCCTCATATTTTGGCTGTACCCGGTCCCAGATCCTTTTTTAAAAGTGGAGGGTCCAAGGGTTCTAGGTGTCATAAAAATTTTAAAAATAAAAATATTTTTTTAAAAAATAATTATATATTTTTTTTTAATTTTATTAACTTTTTTGGAATCTTATCTTATCTTCGCGTTTGTTTCAATTTTCTTCCTGGACTTCCATTTTATTTAGAGATTGATGTCATAAATTGTTTTCTAGTGTAGATAATAATATTTTATGTAAATTTATTAAAAATTTATTAATGAAATACGTTGATTATTTTGAAAATAAATTATTTTGTAGTGCAAGTAATAATATTTTAATTTAAATGATAATGCACAACACGTTGGTCTTCGATTTGTATGATGCTAGAACGATTATTAAGTTTGAAAGATTTTTGTAATGATTTTATTATAGGAGCATGTGAAGTCATTTTGTCGGAAGATGATTGGTGTCAAATAGAGGACCTTACTAGTGTATTAGTTCCTTTAAAAATAACAATATTAAGATTACAATCAGAACTATGTTTATTTGATTTTAAGGCATATGGATTAGATGCCAATTAGATTTAGAAAAATTTAAAGTCCTTTTTATACGAAATATTAGAAAACATGAAAATTCGAGAGAAACAATATTTGCAAAATAGTGTTGTATACACTTCTATATATTTAGACCCTCGATATCAAGTTTTATTGAGTATTGAGCAAAAACAAATGGCTAAAGACCATCTTAAGGATTTATGGCAACGCAAAACTTCATTATTAAAATATTTGAGGCTACGTCAATACCTACTGGTTATAGTGATAATCATAATAATGATAGCAACACTGATGATCTTGAAATTTTACATTTAGATAGAGAAAAAAAAATCAAATTATCATCAGATAGAAAGGAGGATCAAAGCCTATTGCATCTTTAATAGAGAAGTTCTCAGAATTTAAGAGAATAAATAAGGATACAAATATTTTAAAATTCTGGAAATGCATCAACTGCTTGTGAATGACTTTTCTAAGTTGGAACTAATTTGATATTAAACATCGCGCGTCTTATAAAGATGAAGCAATAAGAAAACCTAATTTACATTTTAATTTCTTTAATAACTTGATTGTATGCTTTTTATCATCAGATTATTATAATCATCTTTTTTGTTTAAAATTGAACGTGGCAATAAAAAAATTTTAAAACAATTTTTATCAATATATTTTTTTACGAGTTATTTTATAATATTTTTAAAAAAGAATTATTCGAATCGAATAAAAATAGTAATTTTTAATATTCCCAGAATTGGAAAAAAATTGTAAATTTTTGAAGATTGTTTTTAAAGAAGAAAGATTTTTGATCAAACTTTACCTATAATCACCAAATATTTTATATTTTTAATGGATAAATCACAAATTTTTTTTTAAAAAAAAAACTCAAAAAAAAATTCTGAAGTTTTTTTTTTCAAAATTCATAGTAAATTATTTAATTCGCCTTAACCAATTGAATACGAATAATTAGACGTTTTTTGAATCTTATAAAATAATTTATATGGTGAATTGAGAAATTTTCTAAATTTTTTTTAATGAATATCTAATTTTAATAAAAAAATATTATAATAATCTGATGAAAAGAACATGTGATCAAGTTAATAACAAAATTAAAATTGCATATTTATTTAACTTATAATACCAAGTCAATTTTTATGGCGAAGAATTTTTTTATATTCTTTATGAGATATGATTTTTTGAAGTCCTAGTTGGGCCCGCATTTTAGATTTTTGATGGTTTTTCTATTGGAGGAATTTGTGCCTCATTTCTACCGTTTTCAGTTAAATTTGTACCATCACCGTTTTTGAGATATTAAAATAATAAATGTGCATGACCAACTTCACGGAATTTACAAATAAATTGTAAATAAGTCTATAGAGAATTATTTATACCATTTTCAGTTTGATTTATACCATTACCGTTTTTCAGATATTGACCGTTAAAACTTTGGCGCAGTGGCGTAGACAAGGGGGGGTTTTGGGGTCGAAACCCCCCCCATGGAAAAAAAATTTTTTTTTTTTAAAAAATGTTTGTTTTTTTTAAAAAATGTTTTTTTTTTTTAATTTTTTTTTTTTTTTTTTTATAAAATAAAAAATTATTATTTTTTTATTGCGAATAATTATATTTAAAAAGGGTTTCAATTTAGAGAAATAAGATAATATATTATATATAATACAATATGAATATCACAATGAAATATATTTATAAAAAAAGGAGTTTTAATTTTAAATGATCACATCGTTTAAAAATATATATAAATTATATGAACTAAAATATTAAATAACAATAAAAGAATAAAGATATATTGTATGTAAATAATTTCTGGCATAGTTAAATTTATTAAATAACAATAAAGATATTTTGTAAATATTTTCTGGCTTGGCATAGTTAAATTAGATATTTATAAATTTAATTATTAAATATATATTTTTAAACTATATAGATAGTTTGTAAATTTTAATTTTTTATAATTTTTAAATATGGATATCTGTAAGTTTTTTCGTCAACAACAAAAAGAAAAAGGTATATAAAAATTTAAGTTGTGTAATTTGAATTAGAAATATATATAGATATAGATGTTGCTCTTGCTAGTAAAAATCAGCCATCAGTTGAGTTGGTTTTCGTTGTATCCTCAGATGACGAAGGTAATGGTATTATTTATAATATCTTTTATTTAAATCTTGCAATTAGAAAGACCAGACATACCATTACCACTCCATGGGAAAACCAATGATGAGTTAGCTACAAAATCATCTGGAAAATCATCAAATGATGGTATAGTATTTATTTTAATTCCATTTTTTTTATTTGTAAATTATACTATTTTCATTTTGAGTTATTAAAATTTTGCAATGCACGATATTTAGTTATAATTTTAAAGTTAGTCATTTTTTTGTGTTATTTTGCAAAAGGTAGTACATTATAAGTCAAACAGAGTTAAGCAGTATTGAAAACTTGTATCTACAATACAAACAGAGTTGGGCAGGCCCTCCAGAAAAATAATCTAGATACAGATTTGTTATGGAAAAATGAATCTTAGATACAGATGATTTATCATTACCAATTAAACTAGAATAGTTTATAAAATACAGTTTTTATTATTTATTTGTGAAGAACATAATTATTTTCTTAAAATCTTTTGTATATACAATCTTGGGCAGCTTATAATATTTAGGAACTTATTTTCATAATTTAAATATTACTACCTTCTTCACTTCCATGAGTGTAAATCATCCTACAAATATAAAAATATTAATTAAAACTGGTAATGATATTCTATAGTAATTTCCTTCTACTTGTATCTGTCTTTAAATTTTTATTAAGAAACTTTGATATCTATCTGAGATACATTTTTTATAATCCAGATTTTTTTCTTGTGCTGCTCAGCTCTTAACATTGAAATTCATATTGAAATATATCATTTAAAATCTAAAAAAAATATAGAAACACCACACCGTTCTCAAAAAGATGTTTCACTTTACTTAAATTTTCATTTTAAAAATGATAATGAAAAATTGTTAGCTGTTGAAAATATTTGGATACCTGACAAATGTTATAAATTTCCATTGCCCTTGGGCAAAAGAAATTTAACCTTTCAAGCATCCTGGCTTAACAAATATAAGTGGCTTGCTTACTCAGCCGATGAAAAGGGCGCATTTTGTAAAGTTTGCGTCATATTTTCCCCAAGATATGCTGGAAATGGGTTACAAAAACTCAAAACATTGGTAAGTCAAGTGTACACAAGATGGAAAGATGCGCTCGAAAATTTTAATTATCATCAAAAAAATAAATATCATCTTAATTCCTGTGAGATAATGGATTCTTTAAAAGAAATCTCAATGAATCAAAAGATATCAATATCCAATGTATTGAATAAAAAAAATTTTGATATTGTTACAAAAAATCGATCAAGAATAATTATAATTATTGATGTTATCATTTGGTTAGGGAGGCAGGCTTGGCGTTAAGAGCTCATAGGATATCTCCTGGCCCCCTAACACTTACATCCCCTTCTCACAATGAAGGAAATTTCAAGGAATTATTGAAATTTTTATGTAATAATAATGACAACTACCTAAAGCTTTTTGAAAGCTCCTCTAAAAATGCTACTTACCTAAGTCCCACTATTCAAAATGAAATAATATCAATATGCAATCAGTTTATATTAAAGGAAGTTTCTTCAAAAGTCAAAGCATCACCATTTTTTAGTGTTTTGGCGGATGAAACTTCCGATATTGGTAATATTGAACAACTATCCATAGCAATAAGGTTTATTGATATGGAATCAGGTAATTATAAAATGAAGGAACTATTTGTTCAATTTATTGAATTACCTGACACTAAGTCAGAAACGATTGCTAATCAAATTATTAAATCACTTCAAAACCTGGATTTAAATTTAAATCTACTGAGAGGCCAAGGGTACGATGGAGCTCCCTCGATGAGTGGCCATGTTAAAGGGGTCCAGTCAAGAATTAGAGAGCTTTATAGCACAGCTCTTTATGTTCACTGCAGTTCACATTGCCTGAATTTGATGATAACTGAGGCATGTGAAATTAGAGACATCCGGAACAGTTTACGTAAAAAGATTTTGATTTAATTGAAATTTATTAGATTTTATTATGTATTATAGATATCTTTATATAATTTTTATATATTTTTCAAAATTTAGAAATAATATCGTCGGTTTGTGACTTCTTTACCCCACCCAAGAAGAGGGAGATTTTTACCCAAACGTTCGATGAAATTGATTCAAAAATTCAAAAAAAAAATTAAAAAGATTTTGTCCCACAAGATTCATTGAAAGACAACAATCGGTGAAGGTTTTCATCGAGTTATATGAGGTTATTTTTGCGGCACTGGAATCATACATATTACGCAAAAAAAAGATTCCACAGATGCGGAAAATCTTTTACAGGCTATTACGAAGCCTCAATTTTTAATTTCAATTCAATGTGTTTATTTTTTATTTAATTATACATATGATTTTAGCAAAATGTTACAAAAAATTGATTTGGATTTAAGGGAGGTTATGAATAGGGGAAAGGATATTGTTGAAATATTAACAAATATCAGAGATAATGTGGATGAAAAATTTCACGAAATATATGAGAAAGTAAAGGAGATCGCTAATATGTTTGGGATTGAAATTTTTAAACCTAGAGTAGTTTCTAGACAATCCAATCGCTCAAATATTGATGCATCTACGATTGAGGATTCTTATAAAATTAACATTTTTATTCCACTTATTGATACATTTTTATTTCAATTAAAGGAAAGATTTATAAGTCACAATTTTATTTTAAAAAGCTTTTATTTTCTTTTGCCGGTTGAGTCTGAATTGTTGATTACACTTGAAACGCGAGAGGATATTAAGAACATCTCAGAGTTTTATTCTGATGATTTATTAGGGTCGTATGATAAGTTACTTTGTGATGTCGAATTTTGGTATAAAAATCTTGGCAGAATAGAGTACTCTTTGAGACCAAAAAATGCTTTGCAGGCCCTTTCCATGTGTAATTGCACTTTAGATTCCCTGCCCAATATCAAAACATTGTTTTTTATTTTAGCTACTTTACCGATTAGTACCTGCACTAATGAAAGGTCTTTTTCAACTTTGAAAAGGTTAAAAACTTATTTAAGAAATAGCACCGGTGAAAACCGTTTAAATGGATTAGCCATATTAAATATTTATAAGGAGATTATTCTAGATGAATTAGCCAAATCTCAGAGAAAAGTAGACCTCTCTTTATAAATTCAAATCATATAATTGTAATATTTTCTTAGTCATAAAATTTTTATATGTAAAACTTAATTATAATGAATTTTTAGTCATGATATTTTTATACTATATTTATTAATAGTATTGCACCTACAATAAGAATTATTTATATAATATACTCATTTGTATTAAATATAACTGTTAAATTATATTTTTTTAAATTGCATACAAGAATTACTTATATTTTATTGTAATTTTATTTTTTTAAAATATAGATATTTACAATCAATTTTTAAAATAGTAATCTGTATAAAATTTCTAATTTTGAAATTTATTTTTTGTATATAAAATAAACACATAGTTAAATAAAGGGTTTATACTAAATAAAATTGTTAAATTGTATTTTTTTAGCAAGAATTACATATTTTATTGCAATTTTATTTTTTTAAAATATAGTTATTTACATTCAATTTTTAATATAATAATCTGTATAAAATTTATATATTTTGAAATTTATTTTTTTATATATTATTAAAATAAATACATAGTTAAATAAATAAAGTTAATCATAAATAAAATCTCTGCAAAATATTGTTATATGCAAAAATTTAATTAAAATAATTATTTTTGACATAGAATAAGATATATTGAGTTGATCATAAAATTGGAAGGTTTGGGGGGAGGCAAATTTTTTTTACATCGAATAGATTGAATTAATATACAATTTACTAAACATTGATAACATTTTCAAAATAATGCTTTCAGTCGCTTATTAATTATAAATTTGGCAAAAATTTTAATTCTAATATTTTTTAATATTTATGCTGGCCTGGGTATAATACACAAAATATTGGCAAATGTTGATAAGGGGGTTTGGGGGCGAAGCCCCCAAAACTTTTTTCAAACCCCCCCCCATGGATCAATCCTGGCTACGCCACTGCTTTGGCGCCATAAAAATCTTTTAATAAATTCTAAATTTTTTTTTAGCAAGCAATAGAGAGCCTTTTTACCTCCCAAATGATGCTGTAAATTCATTTTTATCTTTGCTAGAATCAGACTTTAATATGTAGCGTTACATTTGCATTTTTTAAGCTTTTAAAATGGGATCGATGTGTAATGTTTGAAACTCGATTTGTACAATTACCGTTTTCCAAATATTGACCGTTAAAAATATAGTATAAATATAAATTCCTTAAATAGAATTTTAAAAATAAATTTTAATATCGAGCAATAGAGAACTTTTTCTCCTTCCAAACAGTACTTTAAAATCATTTTTTCTTTATCGGTTATTACTAAAATCAAATTTTAATTTAAAATATAGCGTAACTGAGGTCAGGGCAGAGTTAAATCATCTTCATCTGAATAAATAAGTAGTATTGATATATATTCCTTATATAAATATATTAGGAAATATAAATTAACGTTCTAGAAATTAAAAAATAATTTTTTTAAAAAAAAAGTAACAAAAAAAGAAAAGAGATTAAAAATAAAAATAGTCATCCTCCACTGGACAGCTATAAATGTTAATTTGGGTATAAATATATTGTTGACAGCTAGATGTATTTTTGGGATTATAGAGATCGTTATCGTATCAGAAGCATTGGCGTACGCAGCGGGGGGGGGGCATGGGGACAAATCCCCTCCCCAAGCCAAAAAATGCAGATGCCGGATATATTTTTCAAAAATATTATTGTTTATATTAATTTATATTTGTTAATATTTATTCGTATCTCATATTAAATATATATTTAATTACATTTATTATCACATTTATCTACCAAGTTATTTTATCAATTAAATTCGATTTTAAGTTTTCCGGCGTAATATTTATACTTATTATTTTCAAATTTTTAGTGGCGTAATATTTATCTACCATTTTCAAATTTCTAGTCAAATAATAATTATTTCTGAAACTTCTTGTCCAACAGGGAAAAAGAAATTGCAAGTCCAACGAGATAGAGTCTCTGCCATCAAGCAGTAACAGCTTTTAAGGAGTTAGAAGAGCCAATTATTTGCTATTACTGAAATATCACAATGGCCTGAAAGAAATATTTCCTCAGAAGCAAGAAAATTATTGGATCAATGCTTATTCCAAATTTTATTTCTCATTAGAATGTATTATTTAATTATACTACTATTTTAAGTATTACTTTTCAAAAACATATTGACTTGATTAAGAAAATGAGAATAGCGGAAAGCATTTTATCAGAACTCAAGGAAATTAAGGCTAATGTTGATGAAGAATTTCATATTTTATATTTTATTGTTGAGTCAAAAGCAGAGCTATACATGTTTAATATTTGTCTTACATTAATATAGGATCAGTAGAAGAGTATATCTTAAATCAGATACATTTATAACCCAAATAAATGAATTTTTAATTCATCATGCAGCACCTACTAATCTGCAAATAACTTCCACAAAAGCCTTCCCAACCTTTTTCAGATGGTGCTAGAAATAAAAAATTTGTTAGATTTTTATTATGTATATGTTAAAGTATCTTATGATGCCTTACTAACTATGTTTATAAGATTAACTATGGTTAATATAGTCCCAAGAAATGTTATGGATGCTCTGCATTATTTTAAACACATTTTAGATTAAATTCCCAATGTATTAAAAGGGTTTATAAACTCTTCCCACTAGTAAACTAATGAGAGAGTATTCTCTTTTTTAAGAAGAATAACAGAGGCCTGGAGAAGTACCATTTGCAGGGCAAGGCCCGGATTTTTTTTAAAGATTTTTTACAGCCCGGCCTAGGTTTTTTTTAAAAAAATTTCAGGCCTGGCCCGGCTTTTTTAACAAAAATTTCAGGCCCGGCCCGGCTTTTTTAAAAAAAATTTTTAGGCCCAACTCGGCTTTTTTTAAAAAAAATTTTAGGCCCGGCCCCGATTTTTTAAAAATAAATTATATTTATTTTTGATTTTTATAGCTAATAATAACGATTTCAAATATAGGCTGTTTTAAAAAATACAGTCCGGATTGGGTGTTTTTTTAAAATAATTTAGGTTATAAAAAATTTCAGGCTTTTTAAAAATAAATTTTAGGCCCGACTCGGCTTTTTTTAAAAAAATTTTAGGCCCGGCCCGGATTTTTTTAAAATAAATTATATTTTTGATTTTTACAGCTAATAATGACGATTTCAAATATAGGCTGTTTTAAAAAAGACAGTCCGGATTGGGTGTTTTTTTAAAATAATTTAGGCCTGGCTTGGTTGTTTTTTTAAAAAAAATTTTTAGGCCCAACTCGGCTTTTTTTAAAAAAAATTTTAGGCCCGGCCCCGATTTTTTAAAAATAAATTATATTTATTTTTGATTTTTATAGCTAATAATAACGATTTCAAATATAGGCTGTTTTAAAAAATACAGTTCGGATTGGGTGTTTTTTTTAAATAATTTAGGTTATAAAAAATTTCAGGCTCGGCCCGGCTTTTTTAAAAATAAATTTTAGGCCCGACTCGGCTTTTTTTAAAAAAATTTTAGGCCCGGCCCGGATTTTTTTAAAATAAATTATATTTATTTTTGATTTTTACAGCTAATAATGACGATTTCAAATATAGGCTGTTTTAAAAAAGACAGTCCGGATTGGGTGTTTTTTTAAAATAATTTAGGCCTGGCTTGGTTGTTTTTTTTAAAAAAATTTGGGCCCGGCTTGGGTATATTTAAAAAATTAAAATACTGACCGGCCCGGGGGCCGGGCCTGCAGGTCTCTGAAAAACATACCAAGAAGTACAACATCTGAAAGTAGATTGAAAGGTTTGGATCTTTTGAATATTCATAGGCATTTGACGACAAGCAAGGATGAGATAATTGAAAAATTAGCTCAATCACAACGAAGATTGGATTTTACATTGTAAATGTATAACATACAAAATGGAA